GGCTCACAGGGCTGTACCAAAATAAAGAAACTGAAAATAAAAACCAATGGAAGACGTGTCATCATCATCATCATCAGCAGCAGCATCATGATCATCATCATCAGTGTGATCATCATCATCAGCATCATTATCGTCGTGATCATCATTATCCTGATCACCATCATCATCGTGATCATCATCATCAGCATCATCATCATCATCGTGATCAGCAGCAGCAGTAAAATCAGCAGCAGAAGCGACACCAGCAGTAGAACCAACAGGGCCATCAAAATCACGACCTTTTTAAAAACAAAATTATCTTACCAGGTAAGCCCCGATGAGCTATGTAGCTATTTGTCAGAAGCGAGCATGGCCATCACAAATCAAGGTGACTTATCATCATCATCATCAAGTAGAAATATACAGTGGCAGCCAAATTCTCTACACGCGTGACGTTGATTCTAAATGTGGAGGGAAACATCGGAGGACCAGGAGACAAAATGCACGCGACCACGTGGGGAAAGAGAGAGAGAGACACCCCAAACTCCAAATATACAGCAGGCGTTAGGGTCGGGATCGAACCCACGACCTCCTGTACACAAGGCGAGGTAGTCAACATCTCCTAGCCACCGTGATGATGATGAGAGAGAGACACGCAAACTCCAAATATACAGCAGCCAGCCGTCAGGGTTGGAATCAAACCCACGACCTCCTGTACACCAGGCGAGGTAGTTAACATCTCATAGCCACTGTGATGATGATGAGAGAGAGAGACACGCAAACTCCAAATATACAGCAGGCGTTAGGGTCGGGATCAAACCCACGACCTCCTGTACACCAGGCGAGGTAGTCAACATCTCCTAGCCACCGTGATGATGATGAGAGAGAGACACGCAAACTCCAAATACACAGCAGCAGGTGTCAGTGTCTGGATCGAGCCCACCACCTCCTGTATACCAGGCGAGGTAGTCAACATCTCCTAGCCACCGTGACGCCCCTCCCCCCACCAAGCCCACCCTGGAAACGGCAATCCCCACGTTTAAATATTCTAGGAAAGCTTCACCCAAACGCAAGGTTGTTCATCCTGTCGAATTGCCTCGTAACAAAAAAGAAGCTTTCAACGTTGGTTGTTTGAACCGGTTTTGCTTTTTTTAATATATATAAAAATAAATATATAAATTATGCTACTTCTTTTTTTAAGGTGACATTTTGGGTGGGGCATCTCCAGAGTACCGTGACAATTTTTTTTTGCTTTTGTTAGAAGAAAGTAAAAAAAAACATTTAATACATTTTTATTTCACAGCGCGCGCTCCAGCTGGCCGATTTGTTTTGCTTTATAGTTTTGCTCACACACAAAAACAACAACAACATTCAAGAAAATAAATTGAGAGCCCCCCCCCCCCTCGGCGGGCGAAGTGCGAGACGCGGAACGCGAGTCAAAGGCGCTGCTAACGTGAATTGGTGAATTCGGACGAGGTTATTGTGTCGAGAAAATATTAATCTAGTCGTAGATTGTATATATATTTGTGTTTATCTGGGGGAAAGGAGGTAACAATGTGGGAGGTGAATGTCGTTGTTGCAGTGATGCGCGGTCAGAAGCAGATAGTGGCGTGCTGGGTGAGTGATAGAGTGGGTGGGTGAGTGGGTGGGTGAGGGCGTGGGTGGGTGAGTGAGTGGGATAGTGGATCAGTGAGTGGGTGGGTGAGTGGGTAGTTAAAAGAGTGGGTGGGTGAGAGGGTGGGAGGGTGAGAGTGTGGGGGTGAGTGAGTGGGGGGTGAGTGAGTGGGGGGGTGAGTGAGTGGGTGGGTGAGTGAGTGAGTGGGTGAGTGAGTGAGTGGGTGAGTGAGTGGGTAAGGTGAGTAAGTGGGTGGGTGAGTGGGTGGGTGAGTGGGTGGGTGGGTGAGTGGGTGTGAGAGTGGGTGAGAGAGTGGGTTGATAAATGGGTGAGTGAGTGGGTGAGTGAGTGAGTGGGTGAATGGGTGTGTGGTGGGTGTGTGGATGGGTGAGTGAGTGGGTGGGTGAGTGAGTGAGTGGGTGAGTGAGTGAGTGGGTGAGTAAGTGGGTGAGTGGGTGGGTGGGTGAGTTAGTGGGTGGGTGGGTGGGTGAGAGAGTGGGTGAGTGGGTGGGTGGGTGAGTGCGTGAGTGAGTGGGTGGGTGAGTGGGTGGGTGGGTGAGTGGGTGAGAGAGTGGGTGAGTGAGTGGGTGAGTGGGTGGGTGAGTCAGTGGGTGAGTGGGTGGGTGAGTGGGTGGGTGAGTGAGTGGGTGGGTGGGTGAGTGAGTGAGTGAGTGGGTGGGTGAGTGAGTGGGTGGGTGGGTGAGTGGGTGGATGAGTGGGTGAGTGAGTGGGTGGGTGAGTGGGTGGGTGAGTGGGTGAGTGAGTGAGTGTGTGGGTGGGTGAGTGAGTGAGAGAGTGGGTGAGTGAGAGAGTGGGTGTGTGGGTGGTAATAATAACACCACCACAGGGGTTCACTGGGACCCCCCCCCCCACTCCCAACTCCTCAACCCCCCCTCCAACCCCCTTGAAAAATCAGCGTGCTCCCCCTAAAAACCCTGTGGCAGCAGCAACAACAGCAGCTGCAATGGAAGCCGTGTCATCATCATCAGCAGCATCGTCATCGTCCTGATCATCGGCAGCAGCACCTCTGATCAGCACGGTTGGCTGCGTACGGCGCGAAAGAAGTTCAGCATACAGTACATACACAAGCAGCAGCAGCAGAAGCGACAGTAGAAGCAACAGTGCCATCATCAGCAGCAGCAACTGCAGCAGTTGAAGCAACAGGGTCACTCGGGAGACAAAGTCGACCGGGCGTGGTGCCGATCACCCAAACCCCTACTACTCTTTGGCTCTTTCGGTAAAGTCACGGAGGTGAAAAAATTAAATAAACATTTATTTATTTTTATTTGTAAAATATTTTTTTATTTAAAAAAAATGTATTTATTTATTTTTCACCTACGTGGCTTTACCGAAAGAACCAACAGCGTATGGATCCTTGCAGTCACGAAAACTTCAAATCCAGAATGAACCACCCGAACCCCCCTCGTGTGCCGTTGCGGTCTTAATAAGTGCTCGCAAACAGCACCTTGCCCCAGTGTCTGTGTCAGGCTATACGGAATGGGGGGTTGTCTTTGTCTTTGTCTCTATGATGTCGCGCACCAACCGCTTCGACTCGTAAGGGAATCCAACTCGGGTTGGCTCCCTCTTGTGGCGGGGTTCGGAAGCGGTGCCGGATGAAGCGAGCGCGGGGCCCTGGAGCATGATGACGTTTTCAAGGGGCCTTAAATGAAAACAAAAATGTAAAAATATTAAAGCACACATTTCCGTGAGAATTGTATTGTTTTATTTTATTATTTTATTCTCATTCTACGTGACTTTACCGAAAGAACCAAAGAAGATAAAGTCATTGTATTTTTTCATTTGCTACACAGCCAGATAATGCGAAAAATCGCTAACCTTGAACACCCAGTCGTGCGTAAAAGTTGGAAGGGCGGTATAGTACTATAGTAATAGAGCAAGTGCAGAATCACTGAACCGGAATTGATAGCTACTACATATATAGCTATATAGTAGCTATATATGTAGTAGCTACACAAGTAGTAGCTACTACTACATGTGTAGCTACTACTACTTATGTAGCTGCTAGTAGTAGTAGCTACTACTACTTATGTAGTAGTAGCTACTATTACATATGTAGTAGCTACACAAGTAGTAGTAGCTACATATGTAGTAGTAGCTACTACTACTTATGTAGCTGTTAGTAGTAGTAGCTGCTACACATGTAGTAGCTAGTACTACGTATGTAGTAGTAGCTACTACTACACATGTAGTAGTAGCTACTACACATGTAGTAGTAGCTACTACACATGTAGTAGTAGCTACTACACATGTAGTAGTAGCTACTACACATGTGTAGTAGCTACTACACATGTAGTAGTAGCTACTACACATGTAGTAGCTACTACACATGTAGTAGTAGCTACTACACATGTAGTAGTAGCTACTACACATGTAGTAGTAGCTACTACACATGTAGTAGTAGCTACTACACACGTAGGAGCTACACAAGTAGTAGTAGTAGCTACACAAGTAGTAGTAGCTACATAAGTAGTAGTAGCTACTGCTACTTATGTCGCTACTTTGCTACGGGGGTCATCCGGCACTAGGAGTAGTAGTAACATTGCCTCCAACTCTTTGCAATGTCGTCATCATTTGCCGGGTGGAGGGGGAGGGAGATGGGGGAGAGGGAGATGGGAGGGGAGGGAGATGAGGGGGGAGGGAGATGGGGAGAGGGAGATGAGAGGGGAGGGAGATGAGGGGGGAGAGAGATGGGAGGGAGATGAAAGGGGGGAGGGAGATGGGGAAGGGGAGATGGGAGGGAGATGAGAGGGGGGGAGATGGGAGGGGAGGGAGATGGGGGGGAGGGAGATGGGGGGGAGGGAGATGGGAGGGGAGGGAGATGAGGGGGGAGAGAGATGGGAGGGAGATGAGAGGGGGGGAGATGGGAGGGGAGGGAGATGGGGGGGAGGGAGATGGGGGGGGAGGGAGATGAGGGGAGGGAGATGGGAGGGGAGGGAGATGGGGGAGGGAGATGGGGGGAGGGAGATGGGAGGGGAGGGAGATGGGGGGAGGGAGATGGGGGGAGGGAGATGAGGGGGGAGGGAGATGGGAGGGGAGGGAGATGAGGGGGGAGGGAGATGGGGAGAGGGAGATGAGAGGGGAGAGAGATGGGGGGAGGGAGATGAGAGGGGAGGGAGATTGGAGGGAGGGAGATGAGGGGGGAGGGAGATGGGAGGGGAGGGAGTTGGGGGGGAGGGAAATGGGGGGGGAGGGAGATGAGAGGGGAGAGAGATGGTGAGAAGGAGATGAGAGGGGAGAGAGATGGGGAGAGGGAGATGAGAGGGGAGGGAGATTGGAGGGAGGGAGATGAGGGGGGAGGGAGATGGGAGGGGAGGGAGTTGGGGGGGAGGGAAATGGGGGGGGAGGGAGATGGGGGAGGGGCTGCGGAAATCCCGAATCTCCACCCCTGCTCTCTGTGTGTGTTATAAAAGCGACGGGGTGGAGGTGACCACTGGTTGTGAGCAGCCTGTAGCCACCGCTCTGTTAACACTGCGAGTGCCTTGAACGACGAGAGAGAGATAGAGAGCCGGCGGCGGCGGCGGCGGTGATGGTGGTGGGGGTATAACCCCGTAACTTTGCTAAACAACAACAACACAGCACCACCCCACCCTTACTCGCGTGCGGGAAACGTTTTAACTACTGAGCGCAGATCATGGCTAGGGAATGGTCGTAACAATTGAGGCTACAAGACTAGAACACCGCAGTTACACACACGCTATATCTATTTGTGTGTGTGTGTATATGAGGAGGCTTCATAGTCGTAGAGAACTCGGCTCCGTGAAGGGACAGGAGAGTAAAGATTCGATTATCGGACCGCAGCATCGACGCGCTCCGGTGAGTCGCGATTTGCAGTCTCTCTGGACACCGCCGTGGACTTCTGTGCGTGTGTGCGTGAGTGTGTGAGTGTGTGCGCGAGTGTGTGCGTGAGTGTGTGCGTGTGTGTGTGCCTGCGTGAGTGTGTGCGTGTGTGTGTGCGTGAGTGTGTGCGTGTGTGTGAGTGTGTGCGTGCGTGAGTGTGTGCGTGTGTGCGCGAGTGTGTGCGTGAGTGTGTGCGTGTGTGTGTGCGTGCGTGAGTGTGTGCGTGTGTGTGTGTGTGCGTGAGTGTGTGAGTGTGTGCGCGTGTGCGTGTGTGAGTGTGTGCGCGTGTGCGTGAGTGTGTGCGTGTGTGTGTGTGCGTGAGTGTGTGCGTGAGTGTGCGCGCGCGTGCCACCTATGTCTCCCCACGTGCTGCTCGCTCTGGCCTGTTAATGCAATAACGGGGGACCTTTAATTTGTGTCTATTTCTTCCCACGTGATCCTCGCTAACAGCCCTTGCCCCCGACAGTCTTTTTGAGGCTTTGCGGGGGATCTTTGTCTTTGTGTCTTCATAGGCGCTACTGGCTAGCAGCCCTTGCCCCGACAATATGCTGAGGCTATACGGGTGGACCTTTGCTTGTGTGTCTTTTTTCTGAATAGGTGAGACTCGCTGTAACAGTACTTGCCCCGACAGTCTGTTGAGGCTATACGGGGGATCTTTGTGTCTATGCATTCGTAGGCGCTACTCGCTATGAACGCTATGAACGCACTTGCCCCGACAGTCTGGTGAGGCTATACGGGTGATCTTTGCTCTTGTGCCTATGTGGGGAGCGGTAGTGTCGTGGTTACCGCATTGCAGCTACTAAACCCCGCGACCCGAGTTCGATTCCTGTTCACGAAAATAATAGATGCGGTCGGTGGCTTTCAGACCGCATCCATTATTTTTCGTCTCCCCCCTCCTCTTTTCCGAACATAGATGGACTCGTCCATCTGAATGACTGCCAAATCGCTCTCCGTGGTTGCTAACGTAAAAAAAATAACCGCCACTTTTTAACAATTTTTTTGCTGTGGTTTTCACACCTGATGATGATTGCGTGTGTTGCCGTCGAAACGTCGTGAGAATTGTATTGTTTTATATTTTCAGTATTGTATTGTTTCCCTTCTACGTGACTTTACCGAAAGAAACAAGAATACAACATTAATTGTTATAACAACACTCTTACAATATCAGAGTGCAGCGCCACATTAAATACGCACTACAATGACAATAGTTTAAAGCGATTTGAAGCATGTTTTATTTTCAAAAATGGAAATATGGTTTTGGGGGGAGCTATCGAACTATCAGCCACGCGAACTTCCCCGCGGGTTATCACACCTAGGGCAGGATTCAGGCGTGGGGGGCTTTAGGGGGCTGCAAGCCCAGGGGGGCCTCCCCCCCCCCCCCCCCAGCTGAAGTGGCCTCCAGAGATGAAGTGAAAAGTTGTTGAATTTGTGAATGCCGAATTTTATTTGTTGTTAGCCTAGTAAAAAAAAAATACATTTTATTTTTCTTTAATTTTGCTTTCCTTTTGAAAATATTACTGGAGGGGGGGGTAGGTGGGGGGCTGTCTCATAGTACCTGTAGCCCAGGGGGGCCTACAAAATCTTAATCCGGCCCTGGTCAGCAGCAGCATCATCATCGTCATCATCGCGTTGAGCTTTCAGATGCGATTCTGCGGCCGTCTGAAACGCTCTTGCCTTCCGATGTTTGGAAGACACTGGGAAACGTGCAACTTTTAAATCATCATCATCTAGATTGGCGAACTCGTTTTAATAGAACCCCCGATTAGCGCTGTTTGGCTACGTACGGTGCGAAAGAAGTTTAACATATACACGTAAATAGACTCACACAGAGACCCATAGACTCACACAGAGACCCGTAGACTCACACCGAGACCCATAGACTCACACAGAGACCCATAGACTCACACAGAGACCCGTAGACTCACACCGAGACCCATAGACTCACACAGAGACCCATAGACTCACACAGAGACCCATAGACACACACAGAAACCATATACTCACACAGACATCCATAGACTCACACAGAGACCCATAGACTCACACCGAGACCCATAGACTCACACCGAGATCCATAGACTCACACCGAGACCCATAGACTCACACAGAGACCCATAGACTCACACAGAGACCCATAGAGTCACACCGAGACCCATAGGCCCACACAGAGACCCATAGACTCACACAGAAACCCATAGAGTCACACCGAGACCCATAGACCCACACAGAGACACATAGACCCACACAGAGACCCATAGACTCACACATAGACCCATAGACTCACACCGAGGCCCGTAGACTCACACCGAGACCCATAGACTCACACAGAGACCCATAGACACACACAGAAACCATATACTCACACAGAGACCCATAGACTCACACCGAGACCCATAGACTCACACCGAGACCCATAGACTCACACCGGGACCCATAGACTCACACAGAGACCCATAGACTCACACCGAGACCCATAGACTCACACCGAGACCCATAGACTCACACAGAGACCCATAGACTCACACAGAGACCCATAGACTCACTACAGAGACCCATAGACTCACACCGAGACCCATAGACTCACTACAGAGACCCATAGACTCACACAGAGACCCGTAGACTCACACCGAGACCCATAGACTCACACAGAGACCCATAGACTCACACAGAGACACATAGACTCACACAGAGACCCATAGACTCACACAGAGACCCATAGACTCACACCGAGACCCATAGACTCACTACAGAGACCCATAGACTCACACCGAGACCGATAGACTCACACCGAGACCCATAGACTCACTACAGAGACCCATAGACTCACACAGAGACCCATAGACTCACACAGAGACCCGTAGACTCACACCGAGACCCATAGACTCACACAGAGACCCATAGACTCACACAGAGACACATAGACTCACACAGAGACCCATAGACACACACAGAAACCATATACTCACACAGACATCCATAGACTCACACAGAGACCCATAGACTCACACCGAGACCCATAGACTCACACCGAGATCCATAGACTCACACCGAGACCCATAGACTCACACCGAGACCCATAGACTCACACCGAGACCCATAGACTCACACAGAGACCCATAGACTCACACAGAGACCCATAGAGTCACACCGAGACCCATAGGCCCACACAGAGACCCATAGACTCACACAGAAACCCATAGAGTCACACCGAGACCCATAGACCCACACAGAGACACATAGACCCACACAGAGACCCATAGACTCACACATAGACCCATAGACTCACACCGAGGCCCGTAGACTCACACCGAGACCCATAGACTCACACAGAGACCCATAGACACACACAGAAACCATATACTCACACAGAGACCCATAGACTCACACCGAGACCCATAGACTCACACCGAGACCCATAGACTCACACCGAGACCCATAGACTCACACAGAGACCCATAGACTCACACCGAGACCCATAGACTCACACCGAGACCCATAGACTCACACAGAGACCCATAGACTCACTACAGAGACCCATAGACTCACACCGAGACCGATAGACTCACACCGAGACCCATAGACTCACTACAGAGACCCATAGACTCACACAGAGTCCCATAGTTTGTTGTCCTTCCCTTGCACCTCCGATTAGTGTCGTTTGGTTATGTACGGTGCGAGTTCAACCTGCATACACAGCACTTGCCCCTAGCGGGCTAGTGGGGTGCCTTCCTCTTGTTCCCGCTCATCAAAGGCCGCCTCTCACAGTCTCGTCACCACCAGCAACAGTGCCTGGCCATAGGTTTTCTCTTCCCCCTCTCTGGGAGCTCTCCACCACCATGCACACCACGCGTCCCACCCATCACTGCCTCCCCCTCCACCTATTCCCAACCTCCAAGCTGCTTCGCCCCATCCTCCTCCTCATCCTCCCCCACGTGTCCAACCCATCCCAGGCTCGTGCTCTCTCTCTCTCTGTGTGTGTGCTCTGCGTGCCTTCTATGTTGGCCGTCAACATTCTCTATTGATAGCTGAGGATGTACTACCAGAGGGTGTTTGCTAACGACAGACCCAATTTCAGGGCGATATGTTTTGTTTCACGATGGCAACTTGTTGCAATTGCACACGCCAAAAAGAAAAAGAGTTGCAAACGGTCGAATGAGTTATCGAGTTGCAGCGTAACCGTTTCATGAACGCTCTACGTGCCCCCCAACCGGCTGTACGGACAAGATCGAGAGAGACGATCGTACGAATTCGTCCCAAGCGCCTCTCGTCTTCGCGTTTTCCTCTGATTAGCAGCCCGTTTCCTCAAATCGTCGGTACCAACGACGATTGCTCTTTATCATTGGGGGGGCGTCCATAAATGACGTCACGCACCTAGGGGAGGGGGTGGGGTCAGACATTTGAGACGATGTGTGATGAGGAGGCGGCGGCGGGGGGGGGGTTGAGAAATGTGACGTCACATCAAAATGCGCAACTTTAAATAAATAAATGTAGACAAAACACGTTCTACTTAATTAAATAAACTTGTTTTTTACTCTTTGGTTCTATTCGGTAAAGTCACCACGTAGGTAAAAAAAAATAAAACAACAAAAATCACGACGTTTCGGCCACAACACAAGCGGCCTTCAGGTGAAGGGACCAAACTGTCCAGCGGACAGCGTTGGAGTGAAGAAAGCCAAGCGCTGGTCGCCTCCTTTTAAGCTGTAAGGGGGTAAACAGTAAACGCCTTGAGAAAGGAAATTAGCATAAAACGTACTACTGACAGAGCTTGGAATTAGCATAAAATGATAATACACCACCTTGGAAGTTTGGAGTGCCACTACTAGAATAAATATACTGTACCATTGAAAATTAGTTTAATGTTTGGTTCGATGTAGAACATCTTTCCAATGGCTGCTTAATTGGAAACCATCCTCTCGGTTGAAATTGTGTCTGTGTTTGTAGATCTGAATTGTTTTCTCCTGCAACGTCAGAGTGCAGCGCCACATTAAATACGCACTACAGTGACAACAATAGTTTAAAGCGATTTGAAGCATTTTTTTGGGGGGGGGGAGGGGCATAGCTTTGTGACGTCATATTTGAGGGTGGGGGTCTGACTTGTGACGCCGTGTGACGAAGGGGTGGGGTCCAAAATCCCGTGACGTCATTCATGGACGGCCCCTTGGCGAATCAATGGCAAGACGCCGTTGAAACGCAACGCTGCACCGCTTTTACGGATTCAGTTTTGCTCAACTGCAGAACGCAAAACCCCTCGTGTTGCGGGGTTCACCGTTTCGCGAATAACCGAGGCTCGGGTGCTGTTTGTGCGCTTTGGAGAGGCACCTCGCGGTAATCATTTGAAACTCGAGTTTCATTCACGGGCGGTTCGTGGTTGCAGAGATATAGCGATTTTCAAATCTGGTCAATCTCTTTGAAACACCCTGTATATATTAACAACAAGCGTAAGGTCACTCGGCGTACTGTGGCAAAGTAAACGCGCGTTTCAAGAAATCAAACGAAGCATCACGCCACACTGGAGGTTATAGGCACAAGAACAACAACAACAACGAAGACGAGAATCCGAACAGGGCGACAGCGAGTCGCTGGATCTGTTTGACAATCTCTCAATCATTACACAAATTATCGTGGGCAATCGTTACCGAACACCCACCCCACCCCCTCCCTAGGCGAGCTCGTTTAAATGCTGGACCTCAAGTGGCGGCTGGTTTGCCACTCGTGTTTGTTGTGTGTGTTCGTGGCAGAGTTATCCTTGGCTCGGGCGGCAATTATATGACGCAGAAGGAAGAGGTAAACATTCCAAAACAAAGACAAAGTTCCACACACACCTCTCTCTCTCTCTCTCGACCCGTATAGCCTTCACACACTGTCGGGGCAAGTGCTGTTCGCGAACCCCGTGTCGAAGGCACTTTAAATGGAACAACCAAAAGTTAATTATACAGTAATTCCATTACTATGATGATGATTATTATTATTTTGTAACAGCGATTGTCTCTGGGAGAGAGCGGGATGTCCTGGCTGCTGTCATGGGAATGTGGAATTTACTACAATGGCTTCGGGGCATGCTGTTCTGGCGTTGACATTCAATAGTGCGGTTTGTTACCGGCCACTCGGCGTTTGGGATTTTTATCTAGAAGGCCGACACAGGAGGAGCAGGAGGATTTCTCCACAAATCTGGCTGTTCCCTGATGATGCTAGTTGTAATTACTGGCGAAACGTCGTACTCGAATTGTAAATGTTGTGGTGTTTACTCTCCAAAACATCGATGTGCTGTACTAGTATACTACACTATACACTACTATACACTACACTATACACTACACTATACACTACTATACACTACACTATACCATACACTATACACTACACTACTCTCCACTATACACTACACTATACACTACACTATACACTACACTTTACACTACTATGCACTACTATACACTACTATGCACTACACTATACACTACACTATACACTACTATACACTACACTATACCATACACTATACACTACACTACTCTCCACTATACACTACACACTACACTACACACTACACTACACACTACACTACACACTGCACTATACACTGCACTATACACTACACTATACACTATACACTACACTATACACTACACTATACACTACACTATACACTACACTATACACTACACTATATACTACACTATACACTACACTATACACTACACTATACACTAGTGCTGTACTAGTGACGAATTGCTCACGTTCGCTTTACGTGACAACCCTTACTAGTTGGCTGTGTCGGGTGGTGGCGGGGTTGAACGGCACATTCATATTGACCCGATCTAACCCAACAAGAAAACACCTCTATTATAGATTTAAGAGTATTCGTGTGTTTCATAGTAACAATTAGTTGTTAGATATTGATGTAATTCCGTATTGAGCACTCTATATCTCATCTCTCACAATCGCCAAGGAGGAAGGATCTATTTTATTTTACCAGGTGTATAGGGCCCCATTGAGGCACTTCTTTCAGACGCGAACTGGCCATCCAAATTGACTCACTATAGAGACCCATAGACTCACACAGAGACCCATAGACTCACACAGAACCATAGATTCACACAGAGACCCATAGACTCACGCAGACACCCATAGACTCACACACAGACCCATAGTGTCACACAGAGACGCATAGACTCACACAGAGACCCATAGACTCACACGTAGACCCATAGACTCGCACAGACACCCATAGACTCACACAGAGACCCATAGACTCACACAGAGACAAATATACTCACACAGAGACACAGACTTAGACAGAGACCCATAGACTCACACAGAGACCCAGAGACTCAAACAAAGACCCATAGACTCACACAGAGACCCATAGACTCACACAGAGACCCATAGACTCACACAGAGACCCATAGACTCACACAGAGACCCATAGCCTCACACAGAGACCCATTGACTCGCCCAGAGACCCATTGACTCGCACAGAGCCCCATAGACTCGCACAGAGACACATAGACTCGCACAGAGACCCATAGACTCACCCAGAGACCCATAGACTCACCCAGAGACCCATAGACTCACACAGAGACCCATAGACTCACACAGAGACCCATAGACTCACACAGAGGCCCATAGACTCACCCAGAGACCCATAGACTCACCCAGAGACCCATAGACTCACCCAGGGACCCATAGACTCACACAGAGACCCATAGACTCACACAGAGACCCATAGACTCACACAGAGACCCATAGACACACACAGAGACCTATAGTTTGCTGTCCTTCCCCCGTACCTCCGATTAGCACGGCTTGGCAACGTACGGTGCGAAAGAAGTTCAACAACATAGAGCGGTGATGTCAACAAAGAACAAATAAACTGGTGGTCGCCGTTCTTTCCAGCAAGTTCGACTCTGGCAATTTGGTAATTTTGCGGCTGGTAAATTATCAACTTTGCTGTGCCCTACCAGCGCTGGCCAGCCAGTTTGCCAGGCGGGGTAGGACAGCTCTGATATTAACAGCGACACGTCAGGCGATCTGGGTCAGGGGAGTAAGCCCTACGGCGGACTCGCTAGACGCGTGGTTCAACTCCCCTCGGCTTGGGGGGTGGGGCGGGCGGTGACTCTGCACAATCAACAATCATCAACAATCATTAACAATCATCAACAAGCCTCCATCTGGGGGGGAGGGGCGGGGGTGGGGTGCTAGATGGAGGATCGCTTGTTGTGCGAGCCATAAATGACGTCACGCACCTAGGGGTGGGGGTCAGACATTTGTGACGATGTGTGTCGAGGGGGGCGGAGGGGGTTGAGAAATGTGACGTCACGTCAAAATTGCGCAACTTTCAATAAATATAGACAACACGTTCTACTAAATTAAATATACTTTTTATATATAAATGTTTTATCCTACAACATCAGAGTGCAGCGCCACATTAGATACGCACTACAATGACAATAGTTTAAAGCATGTTTTATTTTAGGGGTGGGGGGCAGAGCTTTGTGACGTCATATTTGAGGGGGGGTCTGATTTTTTGTGACGCCGTGTGACGAGGGGGGGGGGGGGTAAAAAATCGTCCAAAATCGCGTGACGTCATTTACGTGTCGGCACCACCCGTACACCAGACGGTTCGATGTAATGATCACGATCAGCAATCTTGATTTATCCTAAAGAAATCCGATGAGCTATTAAGCTCTTTTTTTGTGTGTATCATCAGCTCATTATCAGTACGCGTGTCTGAGCCCCCGGGTCTCGATGTGAGGCTATGGTCTTTCTGTGAGTCTCTGTAGGTCTATGGGTCTCTCTATTAGTATATGTCTCTCTCTATTAGTATATGGGTTTCTCTGAAAGTCTATGGGGCTCTCTTAAGTCGATGGGTCTCTCTGCTGGTCTATGGGTCTCTCTGTAAGTATATGGGTCTCTTTGACGGTCTATGGGTCTCTGTGTGCGTATATGGGTCTCTGTGTGCGTCTATGGGTCTCTTTGTAGGTCTATGGGTCTCTTTATAGGTCTATGGGTACTCTGTCGGTCTATGGGTCTCTCTGTAAGTATATGGGTCTCTTTGTCGGTCTATGGGTCTCTGTGTGCGTCTATGGGTCTCTTAGTAGGTCTACGGGTCTCTTTGTAGGTCTATGGGTCCTTTGTCGGTCTATGGGTCTCTATGTCAGTCTATGGGTCTCTCTGTCAGTCTTTGGGTCTCTTTGTCGGTCTATGGGTCTCTGTCAGTCTATGGGTCTCTGTGTGCGTCTATGGGTCTCTGCGTGCGTCTATGGGTCTCTTTGTAGGTCTATTTGTAGGTCTATGGGGGGGGGGGGCGGTGGTGGGGGTGGCACCCCCCTCCCCCCCATTCCCCTTTGCTGCCCTCCCACGTTCGCTACGTCACTGAGGCCTGGGCACGTGGGCGAGGCCACGTGCTCTGCCCCCGGATGTCAAATGTCAACCCACGCCCACCTCGCCGATGTGTTTGATGCCTCGCCAGTCGCCGCTGGACGTCAGCTGCTCCGGACGCTTCGAATTTGCCACGACTGCATCGGCGGCACGGAGGCGATGCCGCTCGTGCTTTAGACACAGCCACGGAAGGGAATTTGGAATCTGGAATCTGGATTCCCATTCCCCCGACACTATTTGAACGCCGTAGGCGTTGCGTGTAATGTACCGTACCGTGCGCGTGTGTGCGTGTGTGGGTGGGTGTCTATTTGTAGGCGGCCGGGGCGAGGTTGCAGGCCACCCACCACCACTCGCTATGCCGTGCCGGCCTTCACTAACAGCACTTGCCCCAGCAGTGTGTGCAGGCTATACGGAGGGGGCTTTGTCTTTGTGTATATGCAACGGCCACTAGGGAGACAAAGGCGGCCGAGCGTGGTTGTCGGCCACCCCGCACCAACCCACCCCCCCACCCCCAAAGTCTCTGTCACAGATTCCATAACACAGAAGGAACGGCCCCAGGTCTGGAATCGAACCCAGGAACCCCCTTCTACGCTTTGCCACCCACCACCCTTGCCACCCACCACCCTTGCCACCCACCACCCTTGCCACCCACCACCCTAGCCACCCACCATCTTTGCCACCCAATTGCAAATTGTAAAACGAGAGAGGGGGGGGGGGCGGGGGAGAGCGATCCTTGCACGACGTTCCAACTGCGTTTGTGTGTGTCTCTGTCTCTCTCTCTCTCTGTGTGTGTCTCTGTGTGTGTCTCTGTCTCTCTCTGTGTGTGTCTCTGTGTGTGTGTCTCTGTGTGTGTGTGTGTCTCTGTGTGTGTGTCTCTGTGTGTGTGTGTGTCTCTGTGTGTGTCTCTCTGTGTGTGTGTCTCTCTGTGTGTGTGTCTCTGTGTGTGTGTGTGTCTCTGTCTCTCTCTCTCTCTGTGTCTCTCTGTGTGTGTCTCTGTGTGTGTGTCTCTCTGTGTGTGTGTGTGTGTCTCTGTGTGTGTGTCTCTCTGTGTGTGTGTGTCTCTGTGTGTGTCTCTCTGTGTGTGTGTGTGTCTCTGTGTGTGTCTCTGTGTGTGTGTGTCTCTCTGTGTGTGTGTCTCTGTGTGTGTGTCTCTGTGTGTGTGTGTCTCTGTGTGTGTGTCTCTGTGTGTCTCTCTCTGTGTGTGTCTCTGTGTGTGTGTCTCTCTGTGTGTGTCTCTGTGTGTGTGTCTCTCTGTGTGTGTGTGTCTGTGTGTGTGTCTCTCTGTGTGTGTGTCTCTCTGTGTGTGTCTCTGTGTGTGTGTGTGTCTCTGTGTGTGTGTCTGTATGTGTGTCTCTGTGTGTGTCTCTCTGTGTGTGTGTCTCTCTGTGTGTGTGTCTCTCTGTGTGTGTGTCTCTCTGTGTGTGTGTCTCTCTGTGTGTGTGTCTCTCTGTGTGTGTGTCTCTCTGTGTGTGTGTCTCTCTGTGTGTGTCTCTCTCTGTGTGTGTGTCTGTCTCTGTCTCTCTCTGTGTGTGTGTCTGTCTCTGTCTCTCTCTGTGTGTGTGTCTCTCTGTGTGTGTCTCTCTCTGTGTGTGTGTCTCTCTGTGTGTGTCTCTCTGTGTGTGTGTCTCTCTGTGTGTGTCTCTCTCTGTGTGTGTCTCTCTCTGTCTCTCTCTCTGTGTGTCTCTCTCTGTCTCTCTCTCTGTGTGTCTCTCTGTGTGTCTCTCTCGCCGTGTGTCTCTGTGTGTGTCTCTCTCTCTCTGTGTATCTGTGTGTGTGTCTCTCTCTCTGTGTATCTCTCTCTGTGTGTCTCTGTGTGTGTCTCTGTGTGTCTCTGTGTGAGTCTCTCTCTGTGTGTCTCTGTGTGTGTCTCTCTCTCTGTGTCTCTCTCTGTGTGTCTCTCTGTGTGTGTGTCTCTGTGTGTGTGTGTGTCTCTCTGTGTGTGTCTCTGTGTGTGTGTCTCTGTGTGTGTCTCTCTGTGTGTGTCTCTCTGTATGTGTGTGTGTGTGTCTCTCTGTCTCTCTGTCTGTGTCTCTCTGTGTGTGTGTCTCTGTGTGTCTCTCTGTGTGTGTCTCTCTGTGTGTGTGTCTCTCTGTGTCTCTCTCTGTCTCTGTGTCTCTGTGTGTGTGTCTCTCTGTGTGTGTGTCTCTGTGTGTCTCTCTGTGTGTGTGTCTCTGTGTGTCTCTCTCTGTGTGTGTCTCTGTGTGTGTCTCTCTGTGTGTGTCTCTCTGTGTGTGTCTCTCTCTCTCTGTGTCTCTCTCTGTGTGTCTCTCTCTGTGTGTGTCTCTCTCTGTGTGTGTCTCTCTCTGTGTGTGTCTCTCTCTGTGTGTGTCTCTCTCTGTGTGTGTCTCTCTCTGTGTGTGTTTCTCTGTGTCTCTCTCTGTGTGTATGTCTCTCTGTCTCTCTCTCTCTCTGTGTCTCTCTCTCTCTCTCTGTGTCTCTCTGTGTCTCTCTCTGTGTTTCTCTTTTTTTCTTTTTTACGATCAGAGGAAACAAGAAGGTGCTCGGTGTATTCGGAACTTTGAAAGATTTAACAAAATATGTTTCGCTCTGCTCTCCTTACGCCTTCCCTCTCTCTCTACCCTTCTCTCTGCCCCCCCCCCCCCTCTCTGTACCCCCTCTCTTCCTACTCAATGTCGCTCTCTCTCTCTCCCTCTTGCTCTCTCTCGCTCTCTCTCGCTGTCTCTCCCTCTCGCTATCCCTCTCTCGCTCTCTTTTTTTTCTCTTTTTTTAAACTACTACAAGCGCTGCACCTGCACGCAGCCCTCCTCGCAGTCAAAACGGACCCCCGACGGGCAGCTCACAATCTGCACGCACAGAGCTCTCTACCGTCATCTGCCACCGAGCACGCGGCCCTCCTCCAGCGCCCGCTGCTCCTTGAAGGCCCTCTCTCTCTCTCTCTGTGTGTGTGTGTCTCTCTCTCAACCAGTGGTGGACACGGAGGTGACGTCAACCCTGGATCATCGTCTTCCTCCAGCATGGCCTCGAGCAACCAGCATGACATGAGTGTAAGTTCGTTGTGGGTCCGCGTGCGGCTCAGCGGTCAGCGCCACGAACCTGCCGACCCCGCCAGTCCTGGGCCTCCCCTAGGTCGACTCGGCCTCGAATGAGTCCCGAGTGCGGTGTGTAGTCAACTTCGATCACTGGGGGAGACAAAGGTCGGCGGCGCGTGGTGCTCGCTTACAGCACTTGCCCCTACATGCTGTTAAGGCTGTACAGGGGATCTTTGTGTTTGTGTGCTGTATGTGAGCGGTGGTGTAAGTGGTCAGCGCCCAGAAGCTTGCCGCTACGAACCCGGCGACCCGAGTTTTACAACACGCAGTGACGACTATCTGAACCGGTCCTGGGCCTCCCCTAGGTCGACTCAGCCTCAAATGAATGCCTCAGTGCGGGTGTGTAAACTTCGCCACTGGGGGAGACAAAGGCGGCCGGGCGTGGTGCTGGCCAGCCACCCCCCCTCGCATGTCGTGCCGGCCTTCATAGGCGCTGCTCGCTAGCAACACTTGCCCCCGCAGTCTGTCACAGGCTACACGGGGGATCTTTGTCTTTTTTTCAGTGGGTAGGTAAGTGAGTAGGTGAGTGAGTGGGTGATTGAGTAGTTGAGTGAATAGGTGAGTGAGTCGGTGAGTAATTAAGTGATTGAGTAGGTGAGTCAAAGAGTAAGTGAGTGAGTGAGTAGGTGAGTGAATAGGTGAGTGGGTGGTTGGGTGATTGAGTAGGTGAGTGAGTGAGTGAGTAGCTGAGTGAGTGAGTGAGTAGGTGAGTGAATAGGTGCGTGTGTGATTGAGTGGGTGGGTACACTGATCGCCGCTATCCACACACATGGTGGTGCGTTGGTGGGCATCTGCGGACGGAACCGCGTGTGAATCGTTACGCTTGGGAACGATTATTCAATTGGGAATGGTGCGACTCAGCTGTTGTCCACACGCGTGGTGCCGATGAGCGTGGAGGCTCGCGTTACGCATTGCCCGGAATCTCTACAGCATGGGGAACGTTTTTGTTTGTTGCCAGGATCAAAGCATCGAAAATAAGAACACGTGGTTTTTTTTACCCTTTTTGGCAATAACAACAGGAGTTGCCCTAAGATGTTCGAACACCATTTTGTAATGAATCAAGTACTGCATTAACCACGCACGGGTACTTGTGGTGAGCATGCATAGAAACATTATCATCCGTATATCCCCTCGTTCACTCACTAACCCACTCGACGACTCACTCACTCACCCACTCACTCACCCATTCACTCACTGACTCACCCAATTACTTGGTCACTCACTCACCCGCTCCACTAGCCAATCACCAACTTGTTCAACCAACTACCCATTCACTCGCTCACCCACTCACTCACCCATTGACTCACCCACTTACTTGGTCACTCACTCACCCGCTCCACTAGCCAATCACCAACTTGTTCAACCAACTACCCACTCACTCACCCGCCCATTCACTCACCCACTCAACTACTCACTCACTCACCCACTTGGTCACTCACTCACCCGCTCAACTAACCAATCGCCAACTTGTTGAATCAACTACTCACTCACCCACTCACTCACTCACCCACTCACTCACTCACCCACTCACTCACCGATTCACTCACCCACTCAACTACTCACTCACCCATTCACTCACTCGCCCATTCACTCACCTACTCAACTACTCACTCACTCACTCACCCACTCACTCACCCATTGACTCACTCACTCACCCACTTGGTCACTGACTGACCCACTCAACTAACCAATCGCCAACTTGTTCAATCAACTACCCACTCACTTACTCACTCACTCACTCACTTGGTCACTCACTCACCCACTCAACTACTCACTCACCCACTTGGTCACTCACTCACCCGCTCAACTACCTAATCGCCAACTTGTTAAATCAACTACCCACTCACCCACTCACTCACCCACTCACTCACCCATTCACTCACCCACTAAACTACTCACTCACCCACTCACTCACTCGCCACACTGCTGGTCACAACATTGTCTCTCCTGATGCTTCTTCCTTCGCCACTGCTCCATTTGGGAATTCGCCTCCCACCAGTAACAAAACCGATAGCCGCCATTCGTCACTAAGTGGTGGTGACGTCACCACGGCGCCTGTGAAAGGCCAGGTGCACTTTTAGGCCACGTGACAGGAGGTCTCGGAACAGACCCAAGTGGCATGGGCCAGCTGAGTGAGATGACCGGTGGATTCAACAGCTGTACCCCCTTACTGTGCTCGTCGTTGTTACCGGAGGGCGACTGCCTCCAACTACCCAGGAGCATCCTTCACGAGCCTCCGCCATAGAGGCTGATCTTGACACCGCTGGTACCAGTCATTGGCTAATCCAATCAGCTCTGCATCCCTCCGTACCACATCAGCTCCATCTCTCCTCGAGCCCGTGTGGTGCCCCATTTAGCCCCTCTCTATGCGGCCATACAGATGTTGCTTGGGAATGCGGTTGCTGGACATACGGGACTACACGACCACAGCCTTGCCTGCCGGAGGAGCTCACTAATGGGAATGTGTGCAGATCTTTCGAGGATTTGTGAGCTCCTCGCACAATACAGCCAGCTGGTTAAACCCAGGATGGATCGTAAAGCAGGCCAGCCAAAATGTTTCTAACCGGCGAAGATGTTCCATTAGAGGGGTCCACGTTTTGCAAGCGTAGAGAAGGGAGGGCATGACTGTGGCCGAGAAGACCTGAAGCTTCGTGCGGAGCGACAGACCAGGTAGCTTCCACACAGCATTGAGCAGCTGATGAAAAGATTATTCCGCCCGACTGATTCGGAGTGAGACCTCTGCTGTAAAATCTCCCACCACCTCGCCTACGCCAGGTGGTAAACAAGAGGCTGTAATGTTGCGTGATTTTTACGTTTTGAAAATCTCCTTCGCCGGCCTTCATCACCTCCAGATGCCAGACAGTGCTGCTGATATCACCCTCCAGATGGCAGAGACTGCCGGTTACATAACCGCTTACGTGCGGACAAAAGAAATAAGTAAGTGTACTGCAACAACAACAACAACGACGACAAAGCGAATGCAGAACGTATTGAAGGGCGGAGGGGGTGGAATATGTTGGCACAGTTGTACCGCCAAAACTCCACGTGTGTCCTACATTCCCCAAAAGCCCATGGGATGTTATGTTTTTAATAAGAGATTTCTTTTAACTTCATTAAATATTTCTAACCCCGTAGCTACGCACTGGAGGAGCCAGTGGTGGGGGAGGGGGGGTGCAGGATGGCATGTGCCCCCCCAATGATTAGTAATAAATCGACATTTAGCGACCCCCACTGCCACTGTGTAAGCAATATTATTACGTGGCCAGGGACTCTATGAGATGAGTCCATAATTGGCAATAAGTAACGGCAAAGCGGTTTATAAGCGACTCACAGAATTGTGCGCGGTTGCGTCTACAGAGTCCACGACTTCCCTGAAGGCATCGACACCTTCAGCGAGCGCGATGGCGATCACTAACAACGCGGTTCGCAATTGGACCCCTCGGTCGATGGACTGCCCCATTGCCGCACACGCGTCGAATACAAATCAAGGGACAAGTCCTCGCTTACTAACAACTCCTCTATCATTTTTCATTGCTGGAGGGGGTTCCCCCCCCCGCCCCTACCTGAAAATCCTGGCTCCGCCATTGTATCTACGGGATCTTTTTTTTGCCACTATGAAAGTATGAACAAAAGTAAGAGTAGTTATTTTTTTTAAACCCTTTCTGTCAAAATGAAACGGGAGTTGTTTTAAGATGTTCAAACACCAAATAGTGAACCTTTTTGCAAGGAATCAAGTTTACTGCATTAACCACACTCGCTGCTTGTGGTGGACATGCAAACGAGAGTGCTTTGATATAATTACATGGCATTGTCTTTGAAGCTCATTGTCCTACACCACAGACTGCAGCCTCCTTCATCATTCATGGCCTCGTCCCAGTGGTCTGACCAGAGAACAGCGCCATAAGGCGACCAGTACAAAGACAATGCACGTATCTGAGCATGCATAGCTTGGATTGAGAAGCTAAATCATGGGATACCTTTTTGCCAGTATCAAAGTATGAAAAATAAGAATAGTCTATTAAAAAATCTAAGTCAGTATATGGGTCTCTATATAAGCCTGTGAGTCTCTCTGTGGGTCTATGGGTCTGTATGTAAGTCTATGGGTCTCTATATAGGTCTATGCGTCTCTGTATAAGTCTATAGGTCTCTGTGTAGGTCCATAGGTTCTCTATGTAAGTCTGAGGGTCCCGGTGTTAGTCTATGGGTCTCTGTGTAAATCTATGGGTCTGTTTGTGACTCTATGGGTCTCTGTCTGACTCTATGGGCCTCTGTGTGACTCTATGGGTATCATAGGTGAACAGGCTGAGACCATCAACTCACCGCGCTTGAGAACGCCGATTTTTTTTTTATCGCAAACAGTTAATGAAACTTGGATATTCGAACCCAGGAATCCGGCCCTGCTGACGCAGTGCCTCTTCTAACTTCTGAGCCAAACGGTGACTTCAGCGTAGTTTTGGGTGAGATCCCCGCTTGGCACGTGTCAAGTCAAACCCCACGCATTCCTCGGTGGGCACGAGGTGTGTTATGTAAGCTCCCTCGCCTGGTACGCAGGAGGTCGTGGGTTCAATCCCGACGCTGACGCCTGCTGTATTTTTTGGAGTTTGCGTGTCTCTCTCTTATCATCATCATCATCACGGTGGAAAGATGTTAGCTCCCTCGCCGAGTATGCAGGACGTTCGTGGGTTCGATCCCGACGCTGACACCTGCTGTATTTTTGGAGTTTGCGTGTCTCTCTCTCATCATCATCATCACGGTGGAAAGATGTTAGCTCCCTCGCCTACTATGCAGGAGGTTCGTGGGTTCGATCCCAACGCTGACGTCTGCTGTCTTTTTGGAGTTTGCGTGTCTCTCTCTCATCATCATCATCACGGTGGAAAGATGTTAGCTCCCTCGCCTAGTATGCAGGAGGTTCGTGGGTTCGATCCCGACGCTGACGCCTGCTGTATTTTTGAAGT